CGGCTACCCCAGTGCGTGCACCCCTGGGGCGCGGGGAGCAGCCGGCTCCTCGGCACGGCCCAGCCCCGGCTCAAAGGGCAGAGGGCAACAACCGGGGCAGGGACGATCACGGGGACGGGGGACAGCAGAGGAGGGCCCGCGGTGCTGGCACAGGGCACGGCCAAAACAAGCAGCACCTGCCAGGGGCAAGGGGAGGGAGGGAGCAGGAAAGCAAAGCCTGGCAGGGGTGAGTCGGCATGCAGCTCCTCACAAGCCGCCACTGCAAGAGAAGAGAGTGACGCCAGAGCAATGGTGGGAAGGCCCTGTCCGAGGCCACGCAGCACAGCTGGGGTCCTGCTGGGGTCTGCCTCTCCCTTCTGGGCTCAGGGCACCCTTCCCTGCCCGCCCAGGCACGAGCCAGCTGCTTGGCACATGGTGTCCACAGCAGCCGAAGCCACGTTGCAAGCACAGGGATTGGTTTCAGGAGGGAAGCAGGAGCTGGGAGCCCCCAGGTGAGACGTCAGATGTGCCAAAGCCTTTGCCTGGGGAAGGGGAAAGGCCCGACACCACAGAAATGGCCCCATCAGGACAGACCTGACACACCACAGCCTGGGCACTGGGAAAAGGCGTTTATCATGCCTGGGGGAAGGGAACCGATACACAGAGCACAAGACCTTCAGGGTGGGCTCCGAGGCGGCTGCGAGCGCTCCCGGGAGACGCCGGGCTGCCCCATGCCGGGGTCTCTTTGGCACTGCAGGAGGGCCCGCTGGCATCCCACGGGTGCTGCGCAGGGCAGAGGACGCTGCCCTAGCCCAGAAGCATGGCACAGAGGCCGCCAGCTGGGAAGGGACATCAAGGACCCCAGCGACCCTTCCTTGCGTGCAGGGGATGGGGCAGCTGCCATGGGAGTCAGGGAAGAGCTGCAGCATCCCCAGACCCCGGCCAGCTCTAGATCCCACCCCTACCCACGCCAGCAGCAGCTGGGGCCTGTCCCCCTTGCAGGGTGCTGGGGCAGAGTGGTGGGCGACTGCCCCACTGCTGTCCTGCTCTGGGCTGAAGGCCACAACGCTAGTCCGCTCCACGAGGACAAACGCGGTCCTGGGCACCTCCCCAGGGCTGCAGGCAGGGCAGGCATGGAGCTACAGGCTGAGCTACAACCCCCCCAAACAGCTCCTGCCTTCGTGCTGGAGGCAGGTTCCAGCTCCGGGCGGACGTCTGGAGCTGGTGCCATCTCACATCCCTTCCGAGAGCAGCTGCTGCTGCCGCCTCCCAGCCAGTCCACAG